AGGCCAATGCGAAGACCATTAAAAGGGAGCTCAACGAGCGCATATTTCTCCGGTATGGTGTCCCCGATAAATTCCTGTCGGATAATGGGACACCGTTTAAGAATAAGCTTGTGGATAGCTTCCTGGAGTCTAAGAGTGGTTCATGCGACATGCGCACCTTACTCCCCGAAGTCTAATCCCACGGAAAGAGCTAACCGGACTATTAAGACCATGATTTCGGCCTTCATCGAAGAGCGTCACAATACCTGGGATAAGCACGTGGCAGAGTTCGCCTTCGCATATAACACTGCTGTGCAGGAAGCTACTCGCTCTAGCCCCGCATTCCTGAATTATGGAAGGAACCCTGAGTTGCCTAACTCCACGAAGAGGGACGAGGAAAGGAAAGCGGAGAACGAGCTTCAAGAAGAAGCCCTAGAAGACTGGCGCTCTCGCATGGAAAGGCTCGAGGAATACAGAGCAAAGGCGTCACAGAACTCGAGAGCCGCTCAAGATCGCCAGGAGACCTATTATAACAGGAGACACCGCGATGTGACTTTCGACGTAGGCGACAAAGTGTGGGCGAAGAATCACTTACTGTCGTCGTCAGCCAAGGCCGTCGCAGCCAAGTTAGGTCCGAAATACTGCGGACCCTTTATAATAATACGTCGGAATGGTCCAAGTTCCTACCAGCTCAGGGATGAGAATGGTATAGACTTCGGTAAGGTTGCCTTGGAAGGCCTGAAGCCCTGCTTCGACCAAGCGCAGCTCCCCGACGACGAGGAGAGTGATGATGACGAGTTCAACGACGAACCCGACGAAGCTCAGCCTCAGTTAAGCCGGTCGGTAGTGATTACGCGGGATGATACGGCGGAAGTAAGTCGAGAGCAAATCACCAAAATGGAACCTACGCCGACCGTAATGTCTAAGAGGAGAGGACGCCCTCGAGGATCGAAAAAACCTCCGTTAATCCCGGTGGCCGCATCCCCTCGACGTCTGCGCCCTAAGAATCACTGACGGGAACAGGCTTCTTTCTTCACCCCTACCCCCTTCCTTCCTGTTAGCTCCTGGAATCTTGTCTGATTGTACCTGACTTAATTACAGATAATGTCGGCGGACAGACGGCTGTGGGTGTCCCAGGAGCTGATCGAAGGGATTGCGCGACTGACGCATGAACTGCTGGCAGCAGGAGCCTCGCCTACCCTGGTGGGCTTGGTTACCCCAGCCACGGCCGACCTGGCACGGCTGCCAAGTACCCCTAGCCGACCGGCTATTGGCGCGCCGTCGGAGACGTCATCGCACACCCTCGAGGCAATCGCTTCGGTCGCGTCGCCGGAAGGACCAGCTCACCGAACAGCGTCCACGCACGATGGAGCCCTTCCAGGGGCCGTTGGAGTCGCCTCTGAGGGCAAGCGGGCACCGATCCCGCTACCTGGTCCAAAGGACCCACCTGCGTCAACGCATACCCAGGCCTCTCCAACAGCTACCGGGGCAGTCTTTGAAGACGAGGTAGCCCCGAGTCCATTACCCGGACCAACAGTGGCCAAAGACTTGTTCGCCGAATGGGGCGAGATCCTAACTCGAGCCAAGGCAGCCAGGAAGGCTCGCATCGAAGCCACCAAGCTGGAGCAAGAGGCCTACCAGGCTGTCCTTGACTTCGCCGGCCGTCCATGTCCTCAGGCAGCAGAGCTGGCAAAAGAATGGCTCCCCAAGGTGCAGGAGGCCATTGATCTAGCTGCCTACCTCGAGGAGACACCCTCGGCCTGGCTCACGGAGAGGAAGAGGAGACTGGAGGCAGAACAGGAAAGAGAGCGTATTATAGCAGAGCAGGCTAAGAAGCTCCAAGAACTGCACGCTCTGCGGGCCCAGCTGGCGGCCTTGGAAGAGGAGAACGCCAGCCGTCTTCTCCTTGTTCCCAACCCGCACACGTCCAACAGGGTGAGGAACGAGCCAGGTCACCATGCGAGGCAAGGAGCTGCTGCTACTCGCCCGTGCGGCAAGTGGGATGGCCCCCGTCTAGACCTTCGGTTGATCCGGAGCTGCCCGCACTGCGGCCTGACAGGAGTGTCAAGGGGAAGGGACTGCCCCAACTACACTCAGCACTGGAAATGGGCCCAGGGACTCTTGGCCCCATACTCCTACGATGAGTAGAAGGGTCTACAATGCTCACCTGCGTCAACGCATTCTCATCGCGAGCAGATGGTTAGCTGAACCTTAATTTGTACGGAGAGAGAGAGGCGCCTACTTGATGTTTCTTTGTCTAAACCTTTTTTTTTGTATCACGATGTTTCCCTTTTTCTTTGACGTTGATAATAAATTCTTATAATAAGTTTCGTCTTTTCCTTATTACAGAGAGAAAGAGAGAGAGTCATCCTATCGAGCTGGTACTCCGTACTCAGCGTCTGGGCCGGGGGGATATAACGAGTGAGATTGCCAACCCGTTATATCTCTCTCTCCCTAGTAATGATATGTAAATATAACATATTTCCCGGAACTTATCCTATATATTTATGAATTTATTATGTTTATATTCATTTATTATTAATATCTGTATATGTAATTACCTTTCGGTTCGAATATAAGGTGAGAGAGAGAGAGAGATGCGAGTACGCAGGGATACTTCCGTGCGCGACCGCGAGGCGCGGAGAGAGAGAGAGAGACATAGTCGCGCCTTAGCGAGTGACCGCGGGCACTAATCGACTAGACACAGGGCAGAAAGAAATCGAGAGCCGAGCAGGCAACACGCTAGAGAGCTGCTATCGTGCGGATTTGTCAGCGGGCAGGTAGATTCCTCTGTCTCAACGACTTTCCCTGCTCACATCTTCGTAGTGACCTGGTGCTTCCCTCTTCTTCAATCTCGGAGTTGGGGCCTTTATCCAGAGAAGGATTGCGACGTCGCCCGGCCCAGTAGAGGATCTACGCTCGCGTGTTGCAGCTGGTAGCGCAGGATTTCGTCAGGAGGAAACGAGCCGCGGAGTGCACGTGGTGCCCGATAATTTGTGCGTGTGCGTTGACGCAAACTGTGCGACTCGTTTGCGTATCTAGAGGACGAGCGCCGTCATCGTAAGTACCGGCTGGTTGGTTTACTCTCTCTCTACCCGTTCTCTCAGCGTACTCTCTCCCTCCTTCCGACCACTTTTGTTAACTTCTACCGATTAAAAGTACTGTTTACCATGAGTCTCTTTTATTTAATCGTATCCCGACGCCTTATTCAAACGCTCCGCCCTTTCGCGCCTACACCCGCTTTCGAATCTTCGACTTTTGCGTTCTTCGGCCAACACTACGAATCTGCGCGGATCCGGCTGTCCTGTCTCCGGCGTGACGAACACCGGACCTGAGAAGATGGACAGTCCAGGAGGCTCCAGACTTCGCTCGGACATTCCTCATTTAACATTAGTTATTTCCTTTTTTTTATATTTACGGGGCTAACCGGGCTAAATCCCCGTTATAATGTTAAAAAATCTAATGAATTGGATTCAAAATTATATCAAATGAAAAAAGTTTATGAAAATCCTCTGGCTTACAATGAGAATGACTTGGATCTATTAGTCAACTCATCGTTGACTACCCTGTTCCAGCTGCAATTTTCATCGAACTAAAGTTTAAAGCTATGATGGCTTATTTGCTTTTTGACGCAAGACCTATAGGAAAAATTGAAAACTATTATTATGTTCGAGAGTATCAAGGTCGAGGATTACCTCATTTTCATCGTATATTCTGGATAAAAGATGCTCCAGTATATGGTAAATCTTCGAATGAAGATGGAGGAAAATTTATAATGCAATACATTACATGTCGTTTACCTAATAAATATACATCTCCAGATATGTATCGTAGAGTAATGGAATATCAACAACACAAACATAATAACTATTGTATGCGTAAAAATAAGACACGAACTGGTTTTATATCCGCTTGTCGTTTCGAATTTCCACGGAAAACAACAAAAGAATTTATTTTACGTGATGTTATAATAGCTATAACAAATCGTAGAAAGTTAAAAAATAATAGTAGGCTTGATGATCTGCCTCGAGCTTCTAATGAACAATATACAAATGATTATATGCCTGCCATATTAGTTTTATGGGAAGGAAACACCGATGCTCAATTTATTGGTGAATCAACGTATCTTTTGACACATTACGTTACATGTTATGGGACGAAAGGTGAAAAAAGTAATGTTGATCTTTCTGATATAGCGTTGAACAGGTCTCTTTGCAGCAGACTTTGGACTATAGGTCTGCGCGGACTTACCCATAGAGAATGTGGAGCTATTGATGCGGCTGATACTTTATTAGGCCATTCGCTTCATGAAACAGATCCAAATACTACTTTTATATAGGTTGACGTTGGTTTTGAGAAAAAAAGAAAATTAAAACCAAAAGATACAATGGAACAATATTGCCAGAAGATTCAACGGACATCTTTTGTGATAATTTAGTGGATACATACTATCTAAAGCGCCCTAAAGAGTTAGAAACTATGTGTTTATATGATTTTGCAAGATTTTTTGATATATGGAAAAAAAAGCCAAATCGCAAAGTTGAATTTTATAAGATGGATGAAAATTTATATTGCAGAAAAAGAAAACAAGCTCGCTTGGTTCTTCATATGAACTACAATCCTCAAACACAACCTGTGGCTTATTATTTTTCTATACTGATATTATTTAAACCTTGGAGAAATACTCAGGAACTTAAGGCAAACCAAGATACATACCATAATGCTTTTATCAAAATAAAAAATGATTTATCTGAAGCACTTAAATATCATGATAAGCTGCAGGTGATACAAAATGCTATGGATGAGGCTAGTAAATTAATCGAGCAACAAGAATTGGTTAAAACCTTATCCCAAAAATCAGAACATCTGGAAAATGCTGATCCTCTTGATGCAGTACAAGTTATAAAAGATGTTCAAGACTTGATTTAAGGGGTTTTCGAAAAAAAGATATTGATATAGATCAATCTATTAAAAATTTAAATATTGATCAATTGAGAATATTTAATAAAATTACATATACAATGTTATCTGACAATAAAACAATAAGACTGTTTGTTAGTGGATTTGGCGGTACTGGTAAAAGTTACTTGATTGAAAACTTGGTAATATGGAACAAACTAAAAAGAAAGAAAAATATCGCTGTTGCTGCTCCGACTGGTATTGCAGCATTTAATATTCAAGGCCTAACAGTCCATAGGTTATTACAATTACCTGTAGAGCAAGGAGACACGGCAAAATATAAACCTTTATCCGATAATGCATTGAAAAGAATACGTCAAAGTTTAAAGGATGTAGATTTTTTTATCATCGATGAGATTTCTATGATATCAAACGTAACCCTTTTGTATATACATTTACGTTTGGCAGAGATTTTTTGCACATCAGACAAAAAAGACGGTTGGTTTGTTAAGATTCATATTGTAGTATTTGGCGATTTACTTCAATTGCCACCTGTACGAGAAGAATTTGCTTTTATTCCACTGACAAAAGCACAAATTAATAAATATATTAAAGGCATGTTGTCATTCAATTTGTGGACTTTGTTTAAATATGAGGAATTGAATATAAATATGAGGCAGAAAACTGATAAAGTTTACTCAGAAATTTTAGGGAAATTAAGATTGGGTTATTTAGCTAATTCGGATATAGAAACTTTACTGAAGAGAAAAATTTCTTTTTCCAGCCATACTCCGTCAATTTCTCTTCATGAATTGTACGAATATTTGAATAATTTGCCTAGCAACACAGTATGCTTGATGCCAACTAAAATATGTGTTCAATACTTAATAATACTATGTTGAATAAACTAGAGTCTGAAGAGTAAAGCTAATTGCCAATGATTGTTATAAATGTCCAAAGAGATTAGAAAAACGTATTTTGAAAATGTTAAACGAAGATGATGACAACGCTTGTGGAATTTCTCAAGTAATCACAATCAAAATAGGTTGCAAGATTATGATACGGAGAAATATCGATGTGTCTGTCGGATTAGTTAATGGAACTATAGCAACAGTTATTGCAGTGAACAAAGGAAAAACAGGTATAGATAGCATTGCTATTAGACTTGAATCAAATCAAGAGTATTCTATCAAACGATTAGAATACCAATTCCAAATATTAGATTAAGTATTCATTACAAGAGAACAATTTCCGATTTGTCTCAGTTATGCTATTACTATTCATAAAAGCCAAGGTTTAAATTTAGAAAATGCCGTTGTTGAAGCTGGAAACAGCATTTTTAGTTGTGGACAAACGTACGTAGCTTTATCTAGAATTACCAAATTAGAAGGTTTGCATTTAATTAATTTTGATCCTTCTAGTGTTAAAGCTGATGAGTCGGCTATAAGAGAATAAATAGACTGAGAAAACAATATTGTACGGATCTTGATATTTATAATATTCCTGTTAACAACGTTTATAAAAATAATAAAATATTTGATAGTGTATGGTCTGTATCACGCCATACATTGCAGATTCAAGCTGACAATGTTGATAAAATTTTACAATGTTCGTTGAGTCCATTCATTCACCCATTGCTTGATAAAAATAGCTTATCTTATGCAAAAGCATGTATACAGAGTCTATTTCACTGCCAATTGATTGGAAAACATTTACTTGAATGCAAGGATCGAGATATACTTTTACAAATATTTAAACAATATATTACCAAGACTTCGGTTAACTTAGTCCCGCTTTCGAATTTTCTTAATACTGCCAAGTATTCATTCTTAATTCAAAAAGATGCTGCATATTATTTGACGGATATATGTATGAAATTTGAAATAATAGGTAAACTTACTGAACATGAACTTACAATTGGAATAAGATGCCTGGGTTGTCATTTCAGACCTGATCCAATTATAACACGTAATTATATACTTAATTTATACTTAAATGCAGAAACAAATGGAGCATATACGTTGCAGCAAATTATTGATGAAAATATTAATGTATGGCGCGACATTCAAGAAAGTTGTCATAATAATTGTAAATATAAAAAACAAAAAAAAGTATATCTCAGTATCGATTTGGAAAAAATTTTAATAATAAGGCTGTCGTTGTTTTCTGACAATAATAAATTCACCGGATTCAAGATTAATGATGTGCCAAAGACGAAACTTTTTATTGATAATAAATGTTTTAGGGTAATAAGTGCAATTTTTCATTCTGGACCAAGTTTGGAAAGTGGGTATTATTTTAATGTATTACGCGAAGAAACTTACTGATTTCATACTTCTGATTCCAAATGTATAAAAAATCATGGCCTAAATGCTCGAAAGATATATATACAGGGTGTCCCATTTTAATTTACCACCCCCTAAAACAGGTTAATAATTTGCTCTGAGAAAAAAATGTTTCAAATAAAATTTGTTCGGTTCGAAGGGGGGCATCTTTTGGCTATTTCAGCTGCGACCTTGAACATGACCTTCAAGGTCATTTGAAAGTCAAGACCAAATTTTCATATGAAATGTGCATATTTTATGGCGATTCGGATTCTACTAAAAAAGAGAAACACTTTTTGTCTGAATCATTTTTTGATCATCAATAGGTAGGTAGCTCTCCCTTTAACTGAAAAGAGAATTTGTTCTAGAAATAAGATGTTTTAGATGAATGTTACTAGCTTCAAACAAAGACAGAGGTATCCTTTGGATCACTTAAGGCAAGACCTTCAAGTCCAACCACTTAAGGCAAGACCCCTTCGTTCAGCTATAGTCACGGAAATTTCAATGTCTCAAGTGCTCTATCAATCGCCCATTTTGTTGAATGCACATTTGTATTCTCTGCCGAAAACTTCTTTGGACATCTATTAATGTTTGTGGGGTTAACTCCTGGAATGCTGCAACAATTCTCTCCATCATATTTTGTGCCGTCGTCGGGGCTTCCGCGTAAACTCTCTGCTTCACGGCCCCCCACAGAAAGAAGTCCAATGGGGTCAAATCTGGCGATCGCGCAGGGAATTCACAGATTGGACTACCAATTCCAATCCAACTATTTGGGTATGTCGCGTTCAGAAATCTCCTGATAAGTAGTCGACGATGAGCGGGAGCACCATCTTGCTGGAACCACATGTCTCGCCTTATTTCTAGCGGAATGTTTTCTAGAAGAGGTGGAATTTGGTTCTCGAGAATATCTAAATAAAGCTCGCCGTTTAAATTACGGTCATAAAAAATTGGACCCACAACGTATTCCCCAACTATGCCCGCCCAAACATTAATTGACCACCGTCTTTGTGTACGGTGATCTCGCTGCCAATGTTGATTTTCTTCTGCATAATAATGCGCGTTATGAAGATTAACTCCTCCCATATTGTCGAACTTTGCCTCGTCTGTAAAGAGAGTCCGATCAAAGAAAAATGGATCTATGCGCATTCGTGTTTCCGCCCATTGACAGAATCTAAGTCGCCTGGCAGGATCACCAGGCTCAATGGCATGTGTAAGGTGCAAGTGATATGGATGAAATCTAAAATGACGCAATACACGGGAAACTGTTGATCTGGGTACTCCATGCATTCGCTGAATTTGTCGCGTCGAAATATGAGGATCCTCGGCAATTACAGCACGAACCCCAAGCGCAATATGCTCTCTTGGACCCATCCGTCGCCTCTTCCTTCTTAAGTTACCTCCTTGAGCTCTTATCGTTAGAAGTTTAATATTCCTCCTAGTAGGATGACGAGCGTCCGGATACCTTTCAGCGTACAGCCTTGCTGCAGCCTTGTAATTGTCGTGACATTCTCCCAGAATCTTGATCATGTTGACTATCTCTACTGGCGTGTAGTCAGCCATTATCTGTTGTAGGTAGAATTTTTAGGGAATATTTAATCTTAAATTAATAATTTAATTTTTATTTAATCTGAAATTCAGAAAGTCAATGAAAACCTAATGATGAGAAGCTTTGAGGAGCTGTAAGAATTTTCAAGCCTTACCAATAGAACGATAACGAAGCAAAAAAATGTCTTTTAGCGAGAAATAAAGCATTTACGAGAAAAATATTCTAATTCTAATATTCTAATTCCTCGGATAAAATGAAATGGTTACCTGTAAATAAACATTTGACCTTCAAAAAATCTTGATGACCTTCAAATGACATTGATGGCTCTTAAGCAAGTTCGTGGTGAAGGTCACTACAGTATGTCCCTCATTGAATCTAGTAACATTCATCAAAATCATTCTTAACTGTGGGAAAAATTCTAACCTCAGTTTAAGGTAGAGATATCTAGTGATTTTTTCTACTTTTTTAAAGCCGTTTACAACAACAAATTTGGGATTTTTTCAAAAAATGATTCATAAAAAAAGTGTTTTTCTTTTTTAGTAGAATCCGAATCCGCCATAAAATATGCACATTTCATATGAAAATTTGGTCTTGACTTTCAAATGACCTTGAAGGTCATGTTCAAGGTCGCAGCTGAAATAGCCAAAAGATGCCCCCCTTCGAACCGAACAAATTTTATTTGAAACATTTTTTTCTCAGAGCAAATTATTAACCTGTTTTAGGGGTGGTAAATTAAAATGGGACACCCTGTATATATATAATATTTTTAGAACAAATTAAAGCACCAAAAAAAAAGTGATTAATTTTGTAAAGAACATAATAATTATAATTTCATTTCTATGATTTATTATGTAAAATTCTATCATATATATTTAGTTTTTTTCCTTAGGGAAACATGCATTTTTAATAAATTTCCATTTTCTATTCTATTAAGTAATATATCTGTTTATTTATGTACGACTTTTTTCAATATTTCTACAGTGTATAATTAAAAAAAGCAATGTAATAATAAAAATATATTGTAACGGGGTGGGTATCGTTTAATTACTTTATTCGCGGAATTCCACCGAAGGGTGCGCGTAATTACCTATGCTCGATACGTTAGTCGGAAAGCAAGAGGGAATATGTTAGTCAACCAACTAACTACAAATGTGAGTGGAAGCAATACGGAATAAACGAGCCGAAAGCACTTGTTAAGTATCACGAACGAAAGCCTTTATTGTCTTCTCAAATACTATATCAGAATCGGCCCGCGTGTTTACGTTTACATCGGCGCTCGCTCGACAACAACATGCAGTGTCGGGACACTCGCTCGACAACAACATGCAGTGTCGGGACACTCGCTGCTCTTTGTTAACAGAGCTATTACATGCACGCTTTGAGCACGAGGAATTAATTATTACGCATGCAATCGCGATCGCGAGATTGAGCTGGCCAGCTTACCTTTATTTAGCAGACGTTCGAAGACAAGAATGCACGATTTGCACTGCGGAAAAGTTTGTCTCTTCTTTCGTCGCGGCTCGCGAATTCGCGCGCACGTGGTTCCGCCCTCTATGGCGAACCTCACACACACTCTCGCTGTCGCGGGGAATGACGCTCTCCTCTGGCTCAGGTCCGCACTCGTTCAGGCACTTCAATCCTGGATCGCGATCTTCGCGGTTTCTGTATCGGCAGCTGACGACGTGACTACCGGCGAATACCTTGATGGTTAGTGCTCCACTGGTTCAATTTCAATCGCGCGCGTTCCGTCTGCTCGCATGCCGAATTCATTCGTTACGTTTTTCGTCTCCCCGGTAGGTGCTGCCCCCGCAGGCAGCAATTAGGTTATATTATTAGCACTAATTTGACGTTTACCGTCACAATATATATATAATCAATTAACATTTTTAAGTAGTTTTCAAAGTAAAATTAAAAAATGTTAATTAATAATTAATAATTATACAAAAAAATTTACTAGTTAGCAAACAACCATAAACTACGTTTTACATGAATAAAATTTTAGAGCTTATTTTGAAATAAGTGAAATCTAAGAAAAAGCACTTTTAACAAAGTAAAAAGTTGCATGAATGCTTTTGTAAAATTATAAAATTAAGTAATTAATTTTCTCAAATCACACGCAACACACTCCTTTTCCGTGGTACGCAACACACTCCTTTTCCGTGGTAGTATAGTTTCTTTCTGCTTTATTTAACAACCTAGAAAGATATGCTACAGGCCTTTCATGGTTATCCACTTCTTGTGATAAAACTGCTCCTATTGCGTAATCCGAAGCATCTGTGGTTAAGGTCTTCTCAAAATCAGGAAAAGCTATGATAGGGGCCTCACAAAGCATCCGCTTCAGCCTTTCAAAAGCCTCTTCCTGTGGCGGTCCCCAGTCATATGCTTGATTTTTTTTTGTTCAGTCGCTGAGAGGCTTGGCTATCTTCGAATAGTTCTGGATAAATCGATGGTAATATCCGGAGAGTCCAAGAAAAGATCTGACACTTTTCACTCCATTGGGCGTCGGAAATTTCTTTACGGCTTCAATCAATTTAGGGTCCGGCTGAACTCCTTCCGCACTGACAATGTGTCCCAAGAATTTTACT